ATATAAAATTGGTTACACAAAGTTGATCTACAATCTATTTTATATGAAATTAGAAATTTGTACACCCTACCCTTAAACGGCCAATCATATGAAAGTCTTCCTATGACGGTTTACATATATCACAATCAACTATAATTTAAAGGTAACAAATTGCCTTTTAAATAATTCTAAAGTGGAAAAAATTAAATTAACATGGTTTAGCGTTATAATTTGGGCCGATTGCAAAATATCGTTATGGTGCATTTCCCACGCTAGTGCATGTGTATTTAAAGTCACAACAAGACCAAGAAACTTTACAAAAAAAATATGGAAGACGAGACGTCAAAAGATTTACTTCAAAAAATCCTAAAATCTGTCGAACTTTTAAAAAAAGAGCAAGACTCGCTCTCAGCAAAGGTATTATTTATCTTATAAAACTATGGAAATGGATTTTATAACCACGTCTAAAATATTTTTCATATAATCGTGTTGACAGCTTGACTCGTATGAAAGACATACCGATGACAAATTAAAAAAGCTACAGGATCAACTAAAGCCAAGTAATGGAAAAACTGAAAAAACTAAAGTCGAAGGTATTCTATCTATCAGTTATATGACTTTTTTTTCTCTCTTTTTTTTTTCTTAACTCAAAAGCTGCAAGATTAGAAGTTCATCAGGCAAAAGTCAGTGCAACGTCTAAAGGATCTAAATATCCTGATATAATAATTTTGACAAGTAAGTTTCCAACGCCAATTTATTTCATTAATTACGCACGTTCTTACAATTAAACACATTATTACTTAGCGTATCCTGACCAATTTGGTATTAAACCTATACCTCTGGAATGGGGTGAGCTTGATCCAAAAGTTCGTGGCCCTGTGCTGGCATCTCGCCATCCTGCAAGTATTAAGGTTCGGTATGTAGTGATTATAATTTATAGCTTTCAATGGATGTCAAATCAGTAGTCGATCATAAAAGTTTTCTGGTTATTAATTAGCTAAAAGGGTCTCTGGTCTATTAATTAAATATTTGGTTACGCAAAATAATATATAGTAAGTTATATACTGCTTACACTTTGACCAATTGGACCAATTTAACTAGTATTAAACTCTTGAACTAAGCCGGCCAAATTATTCTGGTTAAAGTTGATTGTTGACCAGCCCATGCCAATTTTGATTCATAATTTTCATAATTTTCATTAATCTTTGAATTTTTACTAATATGTAATGATTATAGCAATGCCATTGGTGCATATGGTGGCTCTTACTGTATCTATCGAGCATTGGCAGTTGCTATGGATGCACTTGATCCCGCACATCGCCCTGATTTTCAAAATACAGAACCAACAATCGCGATAGGTCCTCATCCCCAATGGGGAATGCCCGACAAAATTGTCTCATTTGACCCTTTTGGCCATCTTACTACTTCCTTGTTTAGTAGTCAAATTGCACAGGGACTAGATATTCGTCCTACAATTGCAATAACAAAAGCACACATGAAAGTACCTGAAATTGAAAACCTTGTAAAGGAAGGAAAGTTAAAAGTTGACGGAAATATTGTGCTAAATGTTACTGGTGAATTGAATGTTGTGAAAGCTGCTGTTGAGCCCGTTTGGTATCTACCTGGTGTCGCATCAAGATTTGGTATCGATGAAGGAGCTTTACGTCGTGCACTTTTTGAAGATACTGGTGGCATGTATCCAGAATTGATCACTCGTCCGGACCTTAAAGTCTTTTTGCCTCCCATAGGTGGACTATCTGTGTATATATTTGGTAACCCTGCTTTCGTTAGCGATCCATCAAAGAAGTTAACGGTACGAGTTCACGATGAATGTAATGGCTCTGACGTGTTTGGATCGGACATTTGTACATGTAGACCATATTTGATATATGGTATGGAAGAAAGTGTTAAAGAAGCTCAGAACGGTGGTGCCGGTGTTATCGTTTATTGTAAGTAATGTTCAAATAGATAAAGGTCTCTAAATGCATTTTCAAGCTCCGGCCCAAACAAATACTTGATCCATAAATACATTTTTTTTTGTTGTTCACTATGTTGTTGTAGGTTTGGTCCCTAGAAGATGCATTTATAGAAGTCTGACTAGAGTTTGAAGCGTTTTTATGAACTAATATACATTATTATTATTATTAATTATTATTACAGTCCGTAAAGAGGGTCGTGCACTTGGTGAAGTAATCAAATATCTTGTATATAATGCGCGTAAACGTTCAACTGGTGGTGATACAGCAGATAATTACTTTATACGTACTGGTAATATATTTTACAACTCGTTTTGTCACGTTAAAAAATGATATAAACATCTGAATATTAATACATGAATATGTTTATTTTTTTTGCATATTAGAAAATGTTGCTGGTGTTAAAGATATGCGATTTCAAGCTTTAATGCCGGATGTTCTACATTGGCTTGGCATTACAAAGATTGACAGAATGATGTCAATGTCTAACATGAAATATGATGCCATCGTTGGATCTGGAATACCTATTCTTGAACGTGTACCAATTCCAGATGAATTGATTCCAGTTGATTCTCGGTTTGTATCATAATTTGTTTTAATATCTTTTAGACGATGACACTGAAACTATTGTAAATTCTTAGTGTCGAAATTGATGCCAAAATCGCAGAAGGCTATTTTAGCAACAAAAAAGCACCCACAAAAGAAGAGCTTTCACAAGTTAAAGGTAGAGGGTGGGATGATATCCAACATTGAACATCTTTTTCACTTGCAAGGAAATCTAAACGGAGCGGTAAATTCTACAAAAGAAAATGTTAAGAGATCTTTCCTACAAACTTAAATTATCGTTAAAGGATCTTATTTATATATTAGCAAAATTTTAACGATAGTACCATTAATGTTAAGCTGTATTAATATTCTTAATTTTTCTGTATTTTCGTATAATTTTAGTATTTAAGATTAAATGATAATTTATAACGCGCACACACCTTTAAAGTTCTAATTATGACAAATCTTTTTTTTTTTTTGTTTTTTTTTTTTTTAAACTAATCTCGAAAGAAAAAAAAAAAGTCAAATAAAGCTAAATAAGACCCTTGTTTGTTCTGTCCATTATATAAAAAAATAACGAAACGTATCTATGTTCTTGAACGAACACATTCAATTTTTCAGTCTTGATCAGGTACACCATACCGACTGTAGGCCAATGTATGAAAATTAATAAATAAAACCAACATACAAAATCATACAAAATCACATGACAGAAATATCGTACCTCTTTAATTCTTTTAATTCTTCTTCTTTCTTTTGTAGGTTCATCTTTTTCGTAACTTTATTGGGTTGATAGTATAACACAATAAGATATCTACCCATAACATTAAATCCGTTAAGGTGATCACATGCAGCTTTAGCATCGAATATGTCTAGAAGTGATGAATGTGAATAATTAGCATGTACGTATTGCAGATGAAATTCTTGAAGGACATTACCTTCATAAACTACAAAAGCCGTCCCACGTGTGTCTTTTTCTCCTCTAATACATTAAAGATATATATTTAGGATATATAAATTAATTTCATAATAGATCAAAGGTTCAAGCAAAAAAAAAAAAAAATCTTACAATCTGATCTGTCGTATAGCGCCATACTTTCCAAAAATATCGTACATTTCTTCAGAAGTAATATTGAAAGGAAGATTTCGAACAAATAAAACACGATTTACTTCAGGTGGTAACCGGGCCTATTTGATCAGGATCGAAAAAAAGACGTTAAAATAAAATTGGCTCTGATCAATTATTTGCTTTAACTTACATTCCGGTTTTTTGCAGAAGCTGCCATCGCCATTGTAACTTGTTTTTCTTGAAAACTTTTACAGAAAAGAAATAACTATGAAAAGTAACTATAAGAAATCTTGATGTCGAGAGCGATGCGAAGGACACTTTTTCGAAACAGCCAGCTATTATAAAATTTCACAGTCATGTGATTTTAGATTACCAAAAAGAGGGATGTCGGGGTATTTCATATACTAATTAATCAAATCTATATGAGGTATTACACATCACTCTGGTTATACCGACATCTGGATATAACGACATCATAGTAAAATCTTTCTATATCGACATTTTTTTTCAAAATTTTAATATAAAATGTCGGTATAACTCACTGTATCGACATTTTGAATTTTTTTACTAATGACTCAAAAATGTCGATATAACCAGAGTGACGTGTATAGTAAAATTTAATTGTTTGACAACTCTGCACCCATGTAGATCCTGACTATACCCCGACAATATTATTTGCCAATAAAATTTAAGATCTATGCGTAATGAAGAAAATTATCGTGTAGATATTATTACCGTTAAATAAAACTTTAATAATAAAAAACTCTAAAAATCTTTATTGACATGTAAATAATTCTTTAAAAAGATTATTTGCAGTTTGTTCTTGCTGTAGATCCGATTGGGGAATTAATAAAGTGGAATCTCGTTGCTCGTAAGCCATTTTGTTTTCGCTTCAAATTTCTTTTAGTTGCTTATCAGTAAATTGAAATTTTTTTATTTTAGTTGTTAAAAGGTGCATTTTAAATTGCTGAGTCTCAGCAATCATATTAAAGGTGAGTTTTCAAATCCCACTTGTTGAATATGCCTTCAATCTGTTGCTGATGAATAAGAATATATCAAATCTTATTTTTGATAAAGTTATAGAGTTATGAATATTGGTAAAGCAGAACTGTTGATTTATTAACAAATAAGTTAAATTTATGAAAGAATGATTCTTTAGTTAATGCATTTTTAAAATCAAAGTCATTAAAGTTTTTTTTTGTAATGTTTATTTCAAGAAACTTTGTATAGTAAAATTCTTTTAAACTAGGAATTTTTAGTCAAGGATTTTTAAGAATGACATGTTAGTAGTTATTCACAAATTATTTGACATGATTTTCATCAAGATAACACATGATTAAGGGAAGATGAAGCTAACAATCCAGTCATTTTTTATATAACTTGAGTTTTTTTTGTATTTTCCATTCTAATTATTAAACTAATAAAATCATTTATAATTTCAGTACTTTGTAAAAGCTTACTGTTAAAAAATAAATAAAGATTTTCTAAAATACTTGTGAGTTTATACTTTGAATTAACAACAAAATCTGGCATTTAATGAGTTTGACAACTAGATGGTAAACATTATAATAAATTATTAGATTGTATAATCCATAATTGAAAATTATAGCTGACAAGAAATTTAGCATATAGTTAGTAAATTTCTTGGCTAAACATAACTAAACATTGTATTTCAATGTTTTGTTCAAAATCATTTAACAAATTTTCAAATAGTTTATATTTTTTGATATAAAATTATAAAGCTTTTTTTAGAGTCTTTAGTTTTGAAAAAAACTATAAAATGAATTTAATATAAATTTCATGTTTTTCAAGGTATTGTTTAGCTGTAATTAATTTATATTGCCATCTTAATTGTAAAGAATTTTGATATTTATCTAATTTGTAATCAAGTTGTGTTTTATAAAGATTTTTAATTTTTTTTTTATAGTCAAGGTTAGCCTTTTTTGATTTATTGTTTTTATTAAATTATAAAATCATATAGTATTTTTTCAAGAAAGTTCTAGACAAGTACATTTTGACAAAAATATATTCTAGTTATATTTGTACCTTTTGAGTGTTTAATTTAAGTAGTCTGCTTATTACTAGATTCTATATTAGATGTTATATCTATAATCTATTATTACAGTATTTGAGTTATCCAATTAAACCTTTTGATCTAAGTTTTTTATATTAATTTATTTAATCTTATCTATAATATATAATACATTAGTCAGTCTAAGTTTTAGGATCATCACAAACTATTTATAGGACTATTAGCTTGATTAATCAATTCATTTTCAAGTGTATCACCTGTTAGAGTAGTTTAATATCCACTATTATCATATTATTTAATTTATTTTAGTAACTTATACCAAGTTATGAACAAGTATTTGTAAACCAAAGTCACTATCATTATTTATTTAGCTATATAGAGTTTACCCAAATCTAATACCTCTTCTTTAAGACAATCTAATATTTTCTTTTTCAGTATCTTTTAGCCAGTCTTCTCAGATTACCAATCTAGATAGTCTGAAAGGAACACTGGTTCTGTAATATTTGCTAATTCTTTTCCTTTAGTCGATATTCATGCTGGCAGTCTAGTTGATGAAGCAAATTGCTAGGTATTTTTGCTATATTCAGTTAACTAGCCTCAGATGAAGCCTATTCCAGTTATTGTTAAAAGTCTGTACTATTTTTTTATTTGGGTCTTGCTAAGTAAACATTCATCTTTTTGGTTTCTTGGATTAATACAATCACAAGGACTTATCTCAGATTTGCACTCCTAATATCAGCCTGCATGTCTTCATATAATCATAAATGTCTTATAATCTTTTAATCTTATTAGTACTATCAAGATTACAGAGATCCTGTTTCAATCAATTGTCAAAAGACAGTAATTATTATACAAGCAAAATATTTAAAATTTTATTATCAGTAGGTTTTGAATCTCTTACTTGTAAACATGTCGCTTGGAGGTATGATTACTTAATCACTTCACTAACTCATCATATTCTAATTTTTTACTTTTCATATTTAAAGATGAATTTTTATTGCTATAATTATATTTGTTATAGTATATAATATTTATATCAAGTAAAGAAGATTATATAGATGTAATGTTTTTGAAAACCTGGTATTTGTAAAAAGCTTATTGAAGATTACTTCTTCAAAATTGTTTAGGATTAAATATAAAATATATAATTTATTGAAAATTTTTTTTTTTTTAATGTTAAAGTGATCACTTTGGGGTCTAGCATGTTTTATTAAACTTTGGATTAAATGCCAAGGCAGCCACAGGGCTACCCCTGACTTTGTTATATTAACAAGGATACATACTAGCCATATGTACAACCTTTTGGTTGTCTATTTAAGCAGTCTTGTATATATAACCCATATGAACTACACTAAATGTCGTACTTGTAACCCACTATTACTTGAGTTATCTAATTAAACCCTCTGATCAACTTAGCGCCATCGAGATATTCTCCTTAAAGAGGGAACTGCCGCTAAGAACTACTTTATTCTCATAGTAAACCTACTAGAGCAGTCCATGTCTCACATATGTATCATCTAGATTTTCAGTAACTTATGTCTAGGCCGTGATCAAGTACTTGCAGTTTTTTATCTCCACTATCATTACCTACTCTGTGTCCTTGCAAAGTTCGCCCAAACCCCAGCACCCACTTTACAAACTATCAACAGTACTTTGATGCCAACTGTCAGTGCCCCAAACTTCCAATCCAAATGGCCCGGAAGGGACCAGTGGGTGTCCTCTAGTATTCTGAATGAATCCTTTTTCCTCTGGCTGATCTGGCGGCCTGGTTGGTGTAGTGCTTGCCAAACACTTGGTCCTTGTTCAGTTTGTCTTTGGTGTCCGGTTTTTCAGATAATAATCTTTTACATAGCGCTGTCGAAGATTTGTGCTACCTCTCTACTTGAGACTTCTCAAGCAGGCTTCTGTATCTCTCGATCCTTTAGATTTATTTAGCTGCTTC